AAAAAAAAAAAAAAAGAAAGAAAGAAAAAAGAAGTGGAGACTGGGATGGTAGGGCACAATCAGCCACATAAAGCCCCAGGACGCAGCCTCATGTGTTTTTACATAGCACGCTGGTTGCCGTATGAGACTCAGGGCAGCAAAACTGAAGGGGGAAGACCGATATGGCTGTGCTTTGGTTTTGGCTGTAAGCCAAGTGGGAGAGTGGTAGCTTGGATGGGAGTGGAAACAGGAAGTTGTGAAAATTTATCAGATTCTGAAGATACTTTGCACATAGAGGACAAGGGGGTAGCTAGACAGGAATTTGGGGCATGAACAGCAGGAAGACTGGTGTGCTCCCCTTTTGGAGGAAGGGCACCAAGAAACCCAAGTTTGTTTTGGGGCATGTTAAACTTGGGATGCCAGTTAGACACATTAAACCTTCCAACACCTGGTCCCCATCTCATTTTCCTTCCTTTTTCAACCAGACCATCTTCTTTCCTACACCCTGAATGTTCATGAGAATTCAAATCTGGTATTTTCCCAGGAGTATTTTGCCCTCATAAAAATCTTGGCCACCTCTACTTAACTACCAATGATCCATCAGTCAAATTAATAAGAATCTAAGTGCCTGATCTACATCCAGCATGCGGTGGGATTTACTAATAGTCTTGGCTTTAAAAAAATTAAAAAGAGATGGAAAGACAAAGAGGAAGCACTCTCTAGAGGTAACCCAGCAGGGAGAGATAAGAATGAAGACCTCAGAAGCAGCAGGAAATGTGTGCTTCGCAAGTCAGAGAACGCTTCCTGCAAAGGGGCTTCTTGTCCCTGGATCACAGCTTCACCCTTGGAAGCTGCTCCAGTTACTGGTCTCCACCACCTCGCTTAGCCTGATTGATCTTTGGAGTAATGGGCCCATGGTGGGTGGGGTGGAAGGAAATGGTGCAGATGAGGGAGCCTGCATAGCACAGGTGCACGGAGGGTCTTCACATGAGGTCTCTAACCAGAAGTGTGTGTACACTGCCATGACACAGGCAGGCCTTACTAGGAGTGAAAAGAGTGTGCATCCCTGAGAATGCTTTAATGTATTTTATTTGGCCTCTCAATTTTAATTTTCTCAAAATCTCAAGACCTCACTCTGGACACCTCTGGATCATTACCTTTTAAGTCCTTGGCGATATTTCCCTAATACTAAGCAAGGCTGGATCTGCTTTCTAGGAATCTGTGTGACTAGCAAGTTGTTAGCACCTTCGAAGCACGTTCACACTCACCCGCCCCTTCAGCCGAGGTAGGGCAGAGGGCAGACACCACAGGTCTGACTTTCAGCAGAGGTACACCAAGTGCCTGGCTTAACCAGTCACGGGGGAGGGCCAGCAGTGCTTCAGGCCAGAGAGAGGCCTCTCCTTGTACAGTCAGGGAAGCTGAGGCCCAGAGCCCCTTCATTCCCTCAGCCAGTGGTGAGGCTACGAGAGGGATCAGCAAAAATTCCAGCCCACCAAGAGTAATCACCGCAGATGGGAATTTAAGTTGACATCCCCTGTGAATCAAAATCATCCACCTTCGTTCCAGCCCACACCACACACAGCACAGGAGAAACCCTGTAAGTGGCCCTCTGTGCCTCCAGCTTCCATCCCCCAGGCTGTCACTCAGGCTGAGGAAGGGAGCAGCACGATTGAGGTGTTCAGTCTCAGAAGTGACGAGCAGGCCGGTCATTCTAGTATTATAGAGGCCTAACGTGAATTTGCAAGGATTTCCCAAGGAGCTGGCTCTAGAAGCATTTTCAGCCTAGATATAAGGTGCCTGAAGAAAATGATTCATGGGAATAAACTGGTTCCTGTTTTTGCCCTGGGGCTTAGATCATACTGGCAGCTTTGGCTGGAGTCCAGACGCTGGGTGTTACTCTGGGTTCTAGCACACGAAGAAATCGAGGGTATTCATAATTACGATATTAAGCCTGCGTGCCTTTACCAAGTGCTCCATGTAAGCCAGGCAAGGCTGGGCTTGAGGGATGCTTCTGCTCAGTCTGTTGCCCAGGCAGCCAGGGGAAGTGAGGTGGGGGAGGGAATCATCACCTCCCTCCTACAGATGAGGAAACAGGATGGCGGAGGCCCTAGTCCAACCACCCAAAAGTCCATCGAATTCCAGAGCCCCTTGTTCTAGTACACTGAACTAATCTGAGCCTCAGTTTCCCCATTAAGAAAAAGAAACGGGCCTGGATGAACTTGAAACCCTCTTCCAGGGCTCCTGAGGTGTGGCTTCAAAGCGGAGGGGTGTGTCGCCTTCACCCTCCCCAGGTCACTTGGGCGGAGGTAAGGGAGGTGGAAGAGAAAGAACTCACTTCCCAGGCAGCGCGCAGGAACCGAACCCGCGCCTCATGGGAGAAAGGGGGGGTACTCACGTCGATGTTCCTCAGGATGACGCACTTTCCGTTGGTGTACAGAAAATTGTTGCCCTTAGGATCGCCGCCGATGATTTTGGAGACGCCCCTCTCCACCTGAGGGAGGCTGGCGAACACCTTCTCTGCAGAAACACAAACGCGGCAGGGCACGTCACCGGCAGCCCCAGGCCTGGCAGAGCATGCAGAGGACAGAGGCGAGCGGAGAGGACCCTGGGCCGGTCTCAGCCGGTCACCTGTTGCCTCCACCGAAGGAGCGGCAGCCACTTTCAAGGAGCACCGGAGACAGCGCCACCTCCCG